AGCAGTTAGCATACAAACCCACGTGCAGCTCTTTCCACATCCAAAGTTGCTGGCCTAAGTTCCTCCTTTGGAAGCTAAGCCAGCTCCTGTGGCTCAGCCTGGCTGGCTGCTGGCAGTGGGCCGATAGGCGTGGAGATTGCTCAGCACGTGTTGAGAGCTCTCACAGTATCTGTGCCCTTTCTAAATCATTGTATGGAAGCTCAAGCTTTCAAAAAGGCTTCTTGATAAATAAACACCTCTGGGAGGTGAGCACTCAGAAAAGGCGTCTCTGTCTGACTAAGCTTAAGAGGTCAAAGCTGCATCCAAAACTCATCCTGTCTGCAGTGGGATGGGAGAAGGACAAGGAATCAAAGTCTGGAACCTTGCCACTGTCAGCCAAGGGCACAACCAGCAGCTGCTGAAACTGTGAGTGGGGCAGGAGCAGGGGAGGTTGGGTGGGAATTCAACCTCAAAACCAAAATTTCAACCTAAGGTTCAGCCTGAATCCATTCCTGATGACTGGTATTTGTTGCATTTTTGAAAGCAGATTTTCACCTGCTTATGTGAAGTTTGACCCTGTACTTTCTGCTAGTGATTCAGAGACCCTAAAAGTCACAGTATCATTTTCAAAAGCACCCATAAAATCCATTGGAGAAACACAACCTTTTAAATGTAAACCAGGATTTTCAACCCAAGTATGTGCTGGAAAAAATGTGACAGTTGTTTTCTTGCATTTATGCAGACCCATGTAGCCTTTTCTGCAAGTGAAACAGATTTTACAGACATGCAGGCTCTTTTCTGGAATGTATTTTTATAAGGGGCATAGCAGCCAAGCAGCTGGCAACTTTTCATATAGGAGTGTGAGCACCATGAGTGCTCCATCAAGAAGAACAGTCAAGGTCCATGTGGGAGACCCGATGTGTGGTGGAGAAATGGGACTGTGGAGGATGAGATTGAAATCCTAAATGGTGTTTGAACCCTCCTGATGTTTATGTCACCAGTAGGTTTTGCAATGTGGCATGTTTGCAGGTGGACACCTGCCGAAATATGAAGGATCAAGCAGAGGGTATCATTAGTAAAAACCTAGAAATTGGTGTCACCAGGTGACTCAGTTCTCAGTGACTGAGTTCACCAAGTCAGGAAAATGATAAACATGAAGTGCCTAAATGGATTGCTAAGGGCTTAAAACATCTTTTCACACCAGCTGCATAGACATCTCTGAAATGCCAGTGCTGGTTAGCTCACCATCTGTGTTACCCCCCTCTCTCCCCCTCCTCCCGCCTTTATTTTAAGACTTCTTTATGTTTGCCAGAAGAAAAATGTCTCTTCAATATTTTCAGCATGTTATTGGAAAGATAAATTTTGAAGAGAATTTTTTTGTTGGTTCCAACTCTTGCTATGTAAAGCACATTTAATAATACTTAACATTTACTCAGCCTACTTATTAATCATTAAAAATACCAGCTAGCAAAATAATCCATAGTTAACTGAAATTAAGTAATCACATATTAAAATTACACGACAATACTGCTCAGCTCTCAGAACAGATGGAGAATTCAAGCAAAGAGGTTTTAAAACATTTGTTTCAGCAACTTTTTAATTTTGTTGCTGCTTAATTTTCAGAAACTCACTTAGATAATTACTGAGCTATATCATACACGATGCTTAGGTATGCACTGCTGGAACATAGCTTCTTATATTTATATTCTCCTGTGAGATCTGCAGATCCAGCCTCAGCTAGGAGGGCAAGATGAAAACATCTTGATGACAATGCAAAAGGTCTGACCAGACTTATCTCTCTGCTGTCCTTATGGTGCTGTGGGAATTGTGGTGGCTTTTAGGCACCAGCTTTGTACCTACTCTTTGAATCCCCTTTTTTCCACACAACCAGTTAAAATTAAGAGCAATCCAGATGGCTCACCTTTTGTTGGAATGACTGATGCAAGAATCTCTACTAAGTAGATAAAAGGCCTTTCATGACAGCTATGGAAATACAAACTACTCCCAAGGAGGTGTAACCAATTTAATAAGTGTGGAATTGGTCCCTAACCCTGCCAATTGATACTTGGCAATGTGAGGGAGATGAGGAAGATGCACAGCACTGCTCCCTCAGCTCTGTAAGAACCTGACAAGGACTGTAAGAGCATCCTTCTCTTGAAAGGGTAAAATTCCAGGGAAATGAGGGAACTAAAGAGCTGAAAGAACTCAGAAAAAACCTGACACAAGGACAAAGACAAGCTGGACATGTGCATCTCCTGTTCAGCGACACACTACAGTGGTTGAGCAATTCTTTCTCCGAGTGAAATACATGACCACAGGCCCGGGGTGTGAGACTTCTGCCTTGACACCATGGGCTCTTAATGTTTTCAGTTAAGGAAAACTGTTTAAAATCCATAATATATATAAAAAAATACACTGCCTTATGATATACATGCTATTGTAGCCAAGACCTGCCACATACTTGTTTCCCAGCCGTAACAGGTTGGTGAAAGATGTGACAAACTGACCCCAAATCAAGACTTTCCACACCACATCTCATTACTGAAAACCAGAAAAATTACATTTCTCTTTCTGCTATATAGACGCCATAAAATTACTGTCGATTTTGCAGCTTCATAGTGGACCCCAGCTGGTTCGTGTTTGCAAACATGACTTGCTAAGTTTGAATGGCAGCATTTTTAATCAATTTTGAAAGATGTTTGGAATAATTTATTCTGCCACAGTAATTTTAATTAATGTTGAAATTAACCACCTCTGTTTGAGAGGTAGACTGGAGGATTTCCTCTGGGCAAAAACAGAATTTTACTTTACACACTGGGATTCTTGTGATTTCAATATTAATCTTAATCCAAGTTTACATTGGCCATACCTGTTCTGCAGCTGGCAGAGGGTATAGGGTAACTGCTGAGCTCTAAACTATAGCAGGGGTACTCGACCGAGTGTTTGAGTTGAGGAGACTTGCAAACCCTTCTTAACTCCACTTGAAACTGGTTTTACTGCAGTTACTAACGCTGTTGTAATGCCTGCATAGGTAAGGGAAAACATAGAAAAAGATGGCAGGACACCCCACAGGGACCATGGAGGCAAGTTGTAGTGAAGGCAATTGCTAAATAAAAGGAAAAATTTTTACAGCTGAGGGTGAAGCAGAGCCGCAGGTTGCCCAGAGAGGCTGTGCAGTCTTCTTCCTTGGGGATAATCAGACTTGGCTGAATGAGACCCTGAGGAAATACTTTGCACAGTTGATGCTGTCCCTGCTCTGAGCAGGTGGTGGGACGGGAGAGATGCCCCAGACCTGACCTCTGTCCACTGGTCCCTTCCAAATTAAGCTTTTCTGAGATCTGTGTTTCAGAATTCCTGGGGAGCAATGGCTTCAGTTGTTTACAGAGGTACAGAGTGTCCACAGCTTATTTTGATGATAGTGTTTAGCCTGCAGGAGGATATTGACAGGAGTGGATGTAATGAGTGCTGACACTAATTCTTTTTGAATGTGCCCACCTTTTACCGTGGCACAGCCTGCATGCTTCCTTTGTTTGGACTGTTCAAGACAGTAAACACATTTTCTTCTAATGTATTTTTCAAAATTGTGCCTAGATGGTTTACATGCTGTTCTCATAACTGAGAGGTTATTTTATTTCCACATTCTTTTGATTGTCAGTCACAGAACAAACGCAGTGTCCTAGACTGAGGTGGAGACACCTTTTGTCTTGTCCCCTAGGAAAGCTCTGCTGCTGCAGAGGGAAGCTACCCACTGCCCACATTTGTTTGATACTGGTTTTGTCAGCAATGGGCACAAGAATGTTATCCTTTGACCACATCAATATGTATAAATATTTTAAAGGAAGGTGTCATGAGGGTGGTGCCAAGCTCTTTTTGGTGATGCCCAGTAGCAGGATGAGGAAGAACTTCTTTACATGGAGGGTGGCAGACCACTGAAACAAGCTGCCCGGGGAGGCTGTGGAGTGTCCCTCTCTGGAGACATTCAAAACACGTTCCTGTGGAACATTTGGACACGTCCCTGTGTCACGGGCTCTGTGCTGAGCCTGCCTTGGCAGGGGGGTTGCACCGCGTGTTCTCCAGAGATCCCTCCAGCCCTGGCGATTCTGTGATTCTGCTTCATCTATTCATGCTTTAGAGAGGGAACGTGCTGGCTGCTGCTTGGTTGTGAGACACAAAGGGTGAGACAAGGAGAGAGCTGATATCTGCTATGCCCGTGGGATTGAGCCTTCTATGTTTTGACCTTATCATTTTGGGGATCTCAGAAAACGGCGCGGTTGCTTTCGGTGGCGAACAGACTGTCAGCCCCAGAGCATGCACACAGTTCAGAGAGCGCAGCTTTGGAACGGGCTTTTCCCAGCTGTTTGGAGCGCTACTCGGGCACGCTTCCATCCGCCGGAGCACGGAGCTCCCGCTGGGCTGAGCCCTCACAGCCAGCGCTGCACGGACGGCACCCACCGCGGGGGAACCGGCTGC